CCCGTGGGGACTGTTTGAGACCATAAAGGGACTTTACCAAGCGACACACTCGACCCGTACCGTCATCATAACCTTCGGGTTGTGCCATGTATACCTCTTCTTCCAAGACACCGTAGAGAAATGCGTTCTTGACATCCATTTGATGGATATGGAGACCAAGATATGCGGCTATGGCGAGGAGGACTCGTACCGTGGTGTACTTTGCTACCACGGCAAAGGTTTCGGTGAAGTCAAGACCTGGAATTTGGGAATAACCTTTTGCCACTAACCTTGCCTTGTACCTATCGAGGCTACCATCACCTTTTACCTTGATCTTGTACACCCATTTGACACCAATTACCTTCTTCCCTGGAGGTGGCTCAACAAGACGCCATGTACCTCGCTTCATGAGACTCTCAATCTCCTCTTCCTCGGCTTTCAACCAATGCTCTCTTTCGGGACTTGCCATTGCCTCACGACGACTCAAGGGCTCTCGCGGAAGGTGTGATGCTGCCATGCATATTGCCTCTACCTTCTTGTGAATGCAATTCTCACTCTCCTCACATGTGCACCTTGATGACATGTCAACCATGAAATTGAAGGGCTTTTTTACCTTGCGGACTCGTTTACCTTTACCAAACTCCTCAGTTGGCTGAGACACATTAGTGGTAGGGTTCGGTCTCACAGTGTTTGATTGCGTTGATGCGGTCATTTGCGGCTGAGACAACGGCTGCGACATCGGCTGCGACGGCGGCACGGCTGCTTGTTCTTCTCCTGGCGTGGAAATATCTTGATTATCGGTGTTGACTTGAGGATTAGGTATGGTGACTCGTGGCGGTGAAGCTGAAACGTTTGTCGGCATAGTTGGTTGTGAAGATGCTCTTGGTGGGGATCTTGAGACTAGAAGCTTGGGAATTGATGATGACGCTGCCTTGTCGAGAGGTGGTGATGGTTGGGGCTGGTTGGTGTTGTTGCTCGGTGTTGAAGATGGTGGTAACTGATGACGACCGAATCCGGGACGTGGGGGTGAAGTTGAGAAAGGTCTTGGGTGAAGAAGTGGACTGTTGGAGCTGGTGTTGGTGGTGACTCGCTGAAGTGATCCTCGTGCTATGAGCTGGCTTGACGTTGGAACAAGTGATGAACGTGTGGTATGAGAACGAGGTGTTGCGGTGACGGTTGACTTGTTGCTAGGAAGAGTCGTAGATGGTGTTGATGTAGGTACTTGGGGTCTTGTAGCTGTTGATTGCTGCTGCATGGGATGATGATGAGCTTCTGTAGTTGCCTCTGGAGTGATGGCTGGTGATGGGTTTGATGGCGTAGTGGTGGGCTGATCCGGTTGGCGTTGAAATTGTGAGGTTGGTGTTGATATAGCTGGCTGGTTTGTGACTGTTGGCTGCTGCTCCTTTGGTGGTGATGGAACGGTGACTTGCTGCGGTGGATTGTCTTCATTTGATGGCTGAACTTCATCTCCACTTGGTTGAGTAGCTGCTGGTGGCACTGGCGTGGCACGGTTGGACTCATTGACGACGGCTTGAGGGAGATCGATGATCGGTCCGCTATGGTCAGAATCGGTGTCATCTTCTTCCTCCTCTTGTGTTGTTTCCTCAGGTGCGCTTGCTGGTTCCTGTTGGATAGAGGGTAGAGAGGAGGAAGAGGAAAACTTATGCCAACCTGCAAGGGACATGTCTTCATAGAAGACAACATCCCTTGAAACCACTTCTCGCTTGGTGACAGGATCCCAAAGGACCCATCCCTTGCTCTCATTGCTCATGCCGATGAAGAGGCCCCAATGAGCTTTGCTGTCCAGCTTGAGTCTCTTTGCATCTGGAACACGGTATTGGGCCATGGAACCAAAAACACGAAGCATAGACAGATCTGGTTTAACTCCAAACCAAGCCTCATATGGCGTTACACCTTCCGGTAAGGGCCTTGTGGGTCTCCTGTTGCGAACATAAATTGCCATAGTGATTGCCTCACCCCACCAGAGCTTGTCAAGGCCTTTGAACTGAAGGAAAGTGGTAGCTATAGCCTGGATAGTGCGATGAAACCTCTCTGCCACTCCATTTTGCTGAGGACTATAGGGACAAGTGAACTGTTGTTTGATGCTCAATGCCAACAACTCCCCCTGAAACGCTTTCCCCATGTACTCACCTCCTCGATCCGACCTCAAGGTGAGTAACTTCTTCCCTGACTCTCTCTCAACAAGTGCTAGCCATTGCTTGAAACACTTGTGAACTTCATCCTTGGTGTTGATGAAAAAGGACCACGAGAAACGACTCTTGTCATCAATGAAAGACACCAAATATCTCTTACCGTTTCGAGTAGGGTCTCGCATGGGGCCGAAGACATCAGTGTGGACCAACTCTAGGAGGTCCCTTGACTGAGACTTAGAAGGGAAGAATGGCTTTCTAGCTAGTTTACCTTCCACACAAGATGGACATGGAACGGAAGAAAGGGGCTTGACTGCACTTTCATTCAAACTCAATCCTTCCACGCTCTTGTGATTTACCAACTCTTTCAATACTTGCACTCCCACGTGCCCCAAGCGTGCATGCCATACCTCAGCTTGGGAGATACTCCCTTTGTTGTTGACTTGATCGGTTGAAACAGCGGGAAGCGAGACAACGTCGTTCTTCGTGTTGCTAGCACCGCGCTTAATCTCCAACTTCATCTTGTAGAGCAGCCCGGTACGCTCGCCTTCAGCCACCAGATTTCCTGCACTGTCCCACACTTTGGCTTTCCCCCCTTGCAAGAGAACGGAGGCACCTTTCTCTTCGAGTTGTCCGGCTGAGAGCAAGTTTGCTCCCAAATCAGGAACAAACAAAGCTTTATTGACACAAAATGACTTACCATCCTTTTCGAACTCAAGCTTGCCGACTCCTTTGATTGGTACTTTGCCAAGATCAGCAAGAGTCACAGCTTTTGAGTCATATGCGGGCTGAAAATCCTTGAGAATGGACTGATAGGGAGTCATGGTTTCAGAGCAGCCACTATCAAGAATAAACTCCTCACTACTAGTAGAGAAAACGTGCATGCAAGTAGCAGCGTTAAAAAGGACAGGACCATCGGACTCTTTGGACTCATCTTGACTTGTAGAATGACTTGCTATATTTGCTATGGCTGCCTTACCTTTTTCAGATAGTAGCTGAGGTGGGGGGACCCAATTAGGAGGCTTCTTAGGACAAGCATACCACGGGTGACCCCACTCATGACAACAAAAACACTCAAAATTAAACTTTTTAGCATTCGGGGCTTGGCTGAAATTATTGACTCTTGGCATATTGACTCTTGCATTCCTAGGCTGGTATTGATTGGGAATCGAAGGCCTTGGCTGGACATAGTGACTGGACTTATAGGGAGGACTTGACTGAGGAAAACGAGAGGGTTTGTATGGGTTGGAAGGTGACTGAAATTTCGTACCGTAGTAGGGTTGAGGGCGGTTTGGGCTGAAATTTCCTTGCCTCTGGAATTGGTTGCCATATCTTGTGGCTGCTGCAGCACTCCACGCACCTTCGTCACTCCGCTTGTTCCGTGCAAGGTCTCGACTCTGCTGCTCGTTGACAAGGGCCTCAAAGATGAACGCACGACTCTTCATTGACTGCGGGAGCGCTTGTAGTGTTGCACGGAAAGTGTCCCACTCCGGTGTAAGGCCGGTGAGGATGACGGTCTTGAAAAGAGACTCTGGAATCTCCAAGCCGATCGCTGCTGCTTCCTCCAGCATTGCTTCAGCTCGTTGTAGGTAGGCTTGTGCTGATTCATCTTCTTCCATCTTCAGATTCATGAAGCGGCTCCACATCTCGGCTTGGCTGCTCTCGGATTTTGACTGGTGCATAGTCTTCAGTCGGCTCCATGCTTCCTCTGCACTGTTTGCCTTGGTAGAACAGGGCAGGAACGACTTCAACTGCTGCTCGTGAATGCTATTGAGTAGGTAGAGGAAGGCCTCCTTGTTGCGTCGTTCGTAAAGTCGTTTTTCAGCTTCTGAAGCATCTGCTGCTGGTTTGGCTGCTTCTTCAGTGTAGTAAGGCCACAGATCCAGAAGGGATGCAGTGAGCTCAAACTGAGTTGCCCATGTTGGAAAATCTTTGCCGTTTAACTTGGGGAGGTGAAGCTTAGGCATGAAGGAGGTGAGTGGTGAGTATGTTGTTGAAGGACTGCCTGGTGCAACTGCTTCCACTAATCCAGTAGCTGCTGATGTTGACTCTGAAGCTCCTCCGGCTGGCTGGAGTGCAGGACCAGATGGATTGTCTCCCGCCATGTTCGTATGGTGCTAGGATAGGAACGTGGTGGGCTAGGTTGATCGAAACGACAAGCTCTGATACCAACTTGTAAAACAGAGTAGCTGTGACTACTGGAGGGCTGGAAACTTGGCTGGAAAGTCTTAGCAGGGCTGCTGGAATTGACTGGATGAGGTAAAACTTCACTATGTTCAAGATTAACAAGCCCACTAAAGCACAACTCTAGGCATCACAAACAAGACAGATTGAAAGCTCAAACTAGGCTGATAGACAATGTAACTTCCCTGGTAACTTGGGCACAATCTAGATTGGATGGACCTTGAGTGACTTTGAGTGCCACATGAGGTGCATGAATAAGAAAACTCTGGATATTTCTGTTATAGCTGATTCTGATGTGTAGAAACCTGTAGAAACTGCCAACACTTCGGTTTGAAGGCAGCTTTGAACTATATCGAGTCTTCGGCTGAAATCTGATTGGTGGTGGAACTTTCGAAGTACTTCCCGAAGCTCTGATTCATCGCCGACGTTCCCCCTTGCTGCTGCTTGTGTGCAAAGGGCTGGGGCGGCAGAAACTCGATTCTCCAACAAGTTGGACCCCCCCACATTTTTTGAGACGTGCCTGCGACCGTCGCTGGTTGATTCCGTGACTCCCGCTTTGAGCCAGTCAATAATCTCCAAAAAAAACTCGCACAATTTTAGTACATTTCAGTCGCACACAAACTATCTGACGAGTTTAGTACAACAGAACGCCATCGCCACGCTTTTTAAGAATTCGGACCGTCTGAAATGAGCTGTTTCTGCTTCGGCGGCGGCAACACACGGGACCCTTCCCCACCGCCACCGCAAAACAATCCGACAGTCGCGAGAACGCTGAGCGACGCCAAGAATCCCACCGCGGTTAGTAGAGCAGCGAGCGACGCGAAGGGCCCGAGAGCGCTGAAGCGACATATTTCCAACACCGCAGCAGACCCTACTGGGATCACCACCGACACCGCCACATTGCCAGATCCGTCCTTCTTACCGAACCCAACCGCATCGGGATCCGCGTTACCGAATCCAACTGCTCTACTTTCGAACCCTAATGCTGTTCCCACCGCGCTTCCGTGTCCCGACAGCGGGCCGTTGCGACCCGCGGATTCCGTAATCGTGACTATATCGAATGGTGACGGTGATATCGTTTCCCCCGCTACTACAAAACAGCCGCAGCAGGCGGCGTCCGCCTCGCTGCTAAGTCCGAACCCCGCGGGACCGCCGATTCTAATATCCCCTGCTGCTACTACTAATGCTACCATTGCTGCTATTGGTTCTACTGCTGCTAATACTGATAGTAATTCTCCCCAAATCGCGTCTCCAACTGTCGTAACTCCTAGTCCGCGAGGAGCCGGCGCCTCGGTTGCTGCTACTAACGCGTTCACCGCGCATCGTCTCCCAAGCCCTGCTGCTCCGCTGCCCGCCCCTAAGGCCGCCACGTCATCAGCTACCGCCACGTCAGCAGGTCCTGTCCAGGTAGGCGCTGACGCCCCGAGCCCGCGCGGAGTGGCGGCGGGCGGAAGCTTCCAGAGTCCGCGCGGGCGGAAGAAGCCGTCCGCCGCGCAGCCGTTGCGCACCCCCAGCGCATTGGCGCGCCTCCCCCTCCCTGCATCTTCCGCCGCCGCGTCCTTCGCCGCATCCGCCCCTTCCGCCGCTTCCGCCTCTTCCGCCTCCTCCGCGTCCTCTATCTCCGTCGGCGCATCCTCCATCTCCCCCTCCACCCGTTCTGCCTCCCCCTCCGCCGCTTCCGCCTCCCCCGCCGCGCATTCCCCCGGCGCCAGCCAACCCGCGGAGAACTCCAGAAATTCTTCTCCGGAAACCGCCGGCGCTGCTCCGCCCGCGCAGGTGGCGCAGCTCGGTTCCGCCGCTGCCTCTCCCGCTGCTACGCCCTCCGCTGTCGGTGCTGGCGGCGTCCCCAGCGCCTCCGGCGCTCCGCCGGCTGCGGGAATTGCGGCAGCGGCGGTGCCCCTTCCGCTGCCAGCGAGCGGCGAAATCGCCGCGCGCGCAGCTGCCGCGTCCAGCGCGCAACCCGCGAGCCCGGCGTGTGGCGCGGGCGCAGGGGGGGCGGGGGGCGTGGGGGGCGCGGGGGGCGCGGGGGGCGCGGGGGGCGCGGGGGATGCGCGAGCTGTGATTCCGCCTTTCCCCAGCGCCGCCCCCTTGGGGGCGAGCGAGCGGGGAGTAGGGGGAGGAGGGGAGAGAAATGTGGGGTCTTTAGGGAGGCATGGAGAGGAAGGGGGTGAGGAGAAGCAACAGCAGCAGCAGCAACAACCGTCGCAGCAGTCACATAGAGACAATCAAGGGCAGAAAGGACAACCTGGTGATGGAAACGGATCTCTCCATAGCGGGGACAGCAGCGCCTGCACCAGCACTGTAACGGAAGCAACGCCGCCATCCCCAGCTGCTGGTGCTGCCGCTGCTGCCTCTGCTGCTGCAGCTGCTGCTGCTTCTCCAACCGCTAGTGCTGCTGCTTCTGCCGCCTCTGCTGCTGCTGCTGCTGCTGTAGACGCAGCAGTTTCAGCTGCTGCTAGTGCCAACAGCACCGGCAGCAGCAGTGGCAGCACCAGCGGCAAGGGGAAAGCGCCAACGCCCCTGATTCCCTTCACGTACGCGCAGGTGCAGCAGATGGCAGGGGGGTTTGCGGAAGAGGGTAGAATCGGCGAGGGCGGGTTCGGCGTGGTGTACAAGGGGAATTTACCCACGAAAAGCGGGCGCAAGATTCCCGTGGCGGTGAAAGTGCTGAATGCGGAGGGGCAGCAGGTAGGCGTTTGATTAAAGCACAGCATGTAGGGCTTTGATATAATCACAGCAGGTAAGTGTTTTAGATGATTGTAGAGATATGTTGGCCGACCCGACAGGCAGGCTGGTATCAAGCACTTCTAAATGGTTTCTGTATGATGATTTGGACTTTTTTTATCAAGCACTTCTGACATGGAATTTTTCAGCCTGAGTGCTGCGTACGGAAGGGCAGCAGGTAAGGCTTTGAGACAGTCACAGTTGCTGGTGCATTTTTCCTCCGAATTCGCATTTCCCTTCGCCACATCCTTGGCCCTCCCTCTCCTCCCATCACTTCCCCGCCTCTCGCCTTTAACCCCCCCTCAGATCCCACTTCATCTCTCCCCCATCTCTCGTTTTGAGTCGACTCGAAACACCTCATCTTTTCCCCATCTCTTGCTTTGAGTCGACTCGAAACACCTCAAATTTCCACCATCTCTCGTTTTGAGTCGCTTGTAACACCTCATCTTTCCCCCATCTCTCGTTTTGAGTCGACTCGAAACACCTCATCTGTCCCCCATCTCTCGCGCCCTACATCCTCAACAGCCCTTCCCCCTTCCTTTCTCCCACCAGGGCGAGCGCGAGTGGTTGACACAGGTCAGCTTGGTGGCCCATTTTCTCACCCCAACCTCAACTCCCTCGTGGGTTACTGCGCACACCACCACCGCCACATGCTCGTCTACCCCTCTCACCCTCCCGTTCCCCTTCCCCCTGTTTCCTTTCTCCTCCCCGTCCCGCTTCCCCTCCCCATGTCCCCATCTCCTTCTTCCCCTCTCCCTCTCTCCCTCCACCTCTCTCCCGTCTCTCTCCTGTCTCTCTTCCCCTCACTACAGGGCGAGAGAGAATGGTTGACTGAAGTGAGCGTGTTGACCCATCTCTCCCACCCCAACCTCATCTCTCTCGTGGGTTACTGCGCGCACCACCACCACCGCATGCTCGTCTACCCCTACCTGCCCAACGGCTCCCTCGAGCGAAAACTTTTCGGGCTGCCCGCCAAGGAAACGCTGCTGACGTGGCAGCAGCGGATTGGCATTGCGGTCGGGGCGGCCAAGGGCCTAGCGTATCTGCACGAGGAGATGGACAGACCGGTAAGGTCAGAATCAGCCACAATGTATGTTTTGTTTCCGACCCAAACTGTTAGGCCTGGCATCACGGTCGGGGCGGCCAAGGGCCTGGCGTATCTGCTCTGCACGAAGAGATGGAGAAACCGGTGAGTTTTTCCATGTGAGTTTCCCATGGCCCACGAGATCCACACGGGCCAGGAGATGGAGATGGAGAAACCGGTGAGTGACGAGATGACTCAGATGCAAGGTAAGCAAGAACGTCGTTTTTTTGAAACTTTACCGCAAAAAACGGACGTAAAAAACGGTCAAAAACGGTTCCACAAGGTGGTTTCGTTTGAAGAAAAAATCGGCCATTTATGGGACCAAATTGATGGCGAAAATCACCATCATGAAGAGGACCAACCCCTCCTTGCATGAGTGCGCTTGTCGGCATGATTGAAAATGTATTCGACCTTGTTTTTCCCCTTTTTTTCTTGGTGACAACAGTACACTACCAAAAAAACACCGTTTTTCTGGAAAATTGCCGTAAAAACGGACCGTTTTTTACGAAAACCGTAGTTTTGAACCTCAGATGTGGTTTAACTTGTCATAAACTTCAAAGGACCGCGATCTCTAAACGTCCAACATCCTGTTAACCAAAGGACTCACTCACTGCTACCGCCATCGCGCCCCCACTCCGCCCCATCAGATCATCTATCGTGATCGTGATTTCAAAACGTCCAACATCTTTTTAGCCAAGGACTGGCACGCCAAGCTCTCAGACTCTGGACTTTCACTCATTCACTGCTACCATCACCTTTCCCTATCTCTTCCCTTTGCCTCGTCATCCACCCCACCCCACCCCACCTCACTCCATTTCATCAGATTATTTACCGTGATTTTAAAACCTCCAATATTCTATTGACCAAGGACTGGCAAGCGAAGCCCTCAGTCAGACTTTGGGCTCCCACTCACTGAAGCCGCCACCTTTGCCTCATCCCCCAACCCATCTCAACCCACCCCGCCCCACTGCACCCCTCTCCACCCATCAGATCATCTACCGTGATTTCAAAACGTCCAACATCCTTTTAACCAAGGACTGGCAGGCGAAGCTCTCTGACTTTGGGCTCGCAAGAAGCGGGCCCGAGGGGGACAACACACACGTGTCCACTCGGGTAAGCACCTCGGCACATGCACGTTCACGGGTAAGCACCGTGGGCTGGCTGTTGCTGACCAAGGGACTGGCACGCCAAACTCTCGGATTCTGGGCTCGCGAGAAGCGGGCCGGAGGGGGACAACACCCACGTGTCCACACGGGTGAGAGATCTTGACGTTTGAGTGGCTTGTGGGCCGACTTGACTTGCGCTCAACTCACAAGTCAGAAGGAGGGGGTCCGTAAGGGGACAACTCCCGCGTATCTACTTGGGTAAATGGCACCGACATGTTGCACTGGATTTAGAAGGGTGTGCAGTCACAAAAAATAATTAGTAGACCCAGAAGTGAGCGGAGACGAAGGGGACAACAACACGTACTGGAGCGCCATCGTAAGAAGGACAACGTTGGGTGGCCAAGGGGTTGGTTGGTTGGCCAAGAGAGGAGCAGAGAAGGTGCTCATGGAGTTGGGCGGAGCAGAGAAGGTGCTCATGGAGTTGGGCGGAGCAGAGAAGGTGCTCATGGAGTTGGGCGGAGCAGAGAAGGTGCTCATGGAGTTGGGCGGAGCATGCGCTTGTGCTCCACGGAGCGCCACCGAGACGAGCGCCTTGTGCAGCTCGTGGTCACGTGATAAAAAGGGCATTCGTTGATCTCGTGGCCCGTGTGGAGTTCGTGGCCCTTGTGGAGTTCGTGGCCCTTGTGGAGTTCGTGGCCCTTGTGGAGTTCGTGGCCCGTGTGGATCTCGTGGCCCTTGTGGAGTTCGTGGCCCTTGTGGAGTTCGTGGCCCTTGTGGATCTCGTGGCCCTTGTGGAGTTTGCAGCCCTTGTGGATCTCGTGGGCCTTGTGGAGTTCGTGGCCCGTGTGGATCTCGTGGGCCTTGTGGATCTCGTGGGCCTTGTGGATCTCGTGGCCCTTGTGGATCTCGTGGGCCTTGTGGATCTCGTGGCCCTTGTGGATCTCGTGGGCCTTGTGGATCTCGTGGGCCTCTTCTCCGAGCAAGTGGGGAAGTTGCGGAGCAAGTCAGCAAGTAGAGCACGGAGGAGCGTGCAGCGGGGGGGGGGGGAGTGGTGTTTGCGTCAATATCAGGGTCAGCTCACAAAGCATGCGGTTGCGTCAGCGGCAGCATGGAGCAACACGCGTGCCCAGTCTGATTCACTAGAGTATGTGTCTCGAGTTTGTCCTGCTGTCTTGCTGTGAGATTTGCCGCCTCTCAAAGCCCACGCTTTTGCCCCTCTAGCGTCTTCCTCCCCCCACACCCCTCAACACCCCTCTCTGCCCTTCTCAACCACTGCAGGTGGTGGGCTGTGCCGCCCCGGAATACGTGCTGATGGGACATCTGACGTTGAAGAGCGACGTGTCTGCCTTTGCAACGTCTCATAACCCTCCCTCCTGCCCTATCCTCCTTGTTCCCTCTCCTGCTCCTTGTCCCCCCATGCCAGGTGGTGGGCACGGTGGGCTATGCGGCCCCGGAGTACGTGCTGACGGGGCATCTGATGGTGAAGAGTAATGTGCACCCTCCCCCCCTCTCTCCCTCCTTCCACCCTATCTCCCGTCCCACTCTCATCTCTCATTGCACGTGGTGGGCACGGTGGGCTATGCCGCCCCTGAGTGCGTGCGAACGAGGCATCTGATTGTGAAGTGGTGTGTGTGCCTTTGAGAGGGGGTATGGTCGGTTTGAGACGACTCATTACCCCTACCTCATCCCTGCACTCTTCTTTGATCCTCTCCCCACCCCTCCCTGCTCTCTGGCCCCATGCCAGGTGGTGGGCACGGTGGGCTATGCCGCCCCCGAGTACGTGCTGACTGGGCATCTGACGGTGAAGAGTGATGTGTACAGCTTCGGAGTGGTGCTTCTGGAGCTGATGACTGGCCGGCTGGCACTAGACAAGTCAAGGTGAGTCAACGGGGGTCAACGCAAGTCAACAGGAGTCGATGAGAGTAGGCACTGGTTCTGACAGGCCATCTGACGCTGAAGAGTGCTGTGTACAGCTTTTGAGTGGTGCTGTGAGAGCTCATGACAGGCCGATTGGCTCTGGAGAAGTCAAGGTGAGTCAACAGGAGTCAAGCAAGTCAACAGGACTCAATGAGAGTAGGCACCGGTGGAAAGAGGGCATCTGACGGTGAAGAGTGACGTGTACAGCTTTGGAGTGGTGCTGTTAGAGCTGATAACTGGCCGGCTGGCTTTGCATAACTCAAGGTGAGTCAACGGGAGTCAGTGCAGGTCCAGGTGAGTCAATGCGAGTCCGCGTTGCTGCTGGAGCTGATGACTGGCTGGCTGGCTCTAGACAATTCAAGGTGAGTCAACACAGGTCAACGGAAGTCTGTGAGACCATCTGGCCAGGAGGAAAGACGTGTACAGCCTTGGCGTGGTGCTGCTTGAGCTCATGACAGGGCGGTTGGCTTTGGATAAGTCAAGGTGAGTCAACGCAGGTCAACGCAGGTCAATGCAGGTCAACAGTAGAGCATCTGACGGTTCAAACCAATGTGTACAGCTTTGGAGTGGTGCTTCTGGAGCTCATGACAGGGCGGCTGGCTCTAGACAAGTCAAGGTGAGTCCATGCAGGTCAACACAGGTCAACACAGTCTGTCACTTCTGATGGATCGAAGTGACGTGTACAACTTCGGAATGCTGCTGTTAGAACTAATGACAGGCCCACTGGCTTTGGATAAGTCAAGGTGAGTCAATGCGAATCGACGCAGGTGAATGCGAGTCAATGTGGGTATGCATTGCTGCTGGAGCTGATGACTGGCGGTCTGGCTCTAGATAATTCAAGGTGAGTCAATGCGGGTCAATGCGGGTCAATGCGAGACAGTGCAGGTTAATGCGGTCTTCTGGAACTGATGACAGGTCAAATGGCTCTTGATAAGTCAAAGTGTGTCAACACAAGTCAACCCGATTCCTAAACCCAGAGCAATCTCTAGCGAAGGGGCCTGCCTCCTTCCTCGCCTCGCCCTCCAATCTTTACCGAGTCATAGACCCTGCTCTGTCCATTCCATTTCCTCACCCTTCCCTTCCCTTCCCTTCCTCTCTGGTTACACAGCACAGCGGGCCTAAGGAGGAGCAGCTTCATTCTTAGCTTGCCCCTCCCAGCTCTACCGCATCATGGACCCAGCCCTCTCCATCCTTCCTTTTGATTCCATTATTACATCGCAGACCGAAGGAGGAGCAGTCACTGGCAGAGTGGGCGGCTCCCTTTCTCGCCTCCCCCTCCAAGCTCTATCGAATCATGGATCCTGCTCTCTCGGGCCGCTACAGCGTGAAGGGCGCTCAGACGGCGGCGGCTGTAGCAAGAGACTGCCTCACCCGCAAGGCCAAGCAGCGGCCGCGCATGTCCGAGGTGGTAACCGCGTTACAGCCGGTGCTGGAGCTCTTTGATATGGCGGGTTTTGATTCCTCCGGTGCTGGTGTGGCCGGCGGACTAGGAGGGGCAGGAGGGGGAGTAGGGGGAGTAGGAGGTATAGGGGGAGGGAGTGGAGCAGGGGGAGCATTGCTGACAAGGTCGTCTAGTGAGAATAACACGAGTACGACCAAGGGAGGGAGTGCAAGCGGTGTAGGAGCAGGAGGGGGGATGGGTAGTGGGAGGAGGTGGCAGAAGGTAGGGGCTGGTCAGGGCTCGCTAGCTCAGAAGCAATTGTCGCTTAGGGAGGAGAGGAGGCAGCTGTCTATAAGGGAGGAGACACAGCAGGACAGGACTGTTGAGGATGGTTGATGGGCCGCTGTTGACCATGTGTTGTCATTGTTTGAATCGATAGGCTGCCTTTTATTTGATTAAGAGCTGTTGGTGTATTTAAAGACAAAAGCAGCCTCTTGAAGCGATTGTGGGCACTAGTAGACATATTAGTGAGGTGAAGGGATATGTTATGGTAGTGTACCGTAATAGCGATGGCATTAGCCCCTTGGCTAGGGGCCCTAGCTTGACTGAAGCCAGGCACCGCAATTTGCATAGCATGCCCACTGCTAGTTTCTTTCCAGCTTCCCCACCTCCCGATTGGTAGGAGCAGGGCCCATGGCATTAGGGTAACTATGCACCTCTGCAGATGTTTGGTACAAAATTTTGTAAGGCACTCGCCCGAATTGTGAAAGTCTACTTCGGTGACTTGCAAAAGCAGCGTTATCATTTCATATGGGTTGTAGTACGGTACATCGTTCGCATCTTATATATGTCTACATAACAGCATACACAAATGGGTGGGCGGGTGGGAATTAGTACAATTTCGGAAATGAAAACGTGGGTGGGGACGAATGTCCCCACGTCCCTCTTTTGTAGGTAAAAGAGGGTGAGTAGCGCTTCGACGCTACCTTTGCTGTGTTGGCCACGTACCCCTTTTCACAATACAAAATTTTAGAAAGTGTTACATTTCATTTCATTACACTTTAAAAAATTATCATACCGTATACTCCCGGACAAAACACCCCCCCATAATTGTACACCCCCGGGTAGCTTGTGCGGGGTGGGTGTTATGATAGACCTCGTTTCTACTATACCCCCCCTTTTGGCTGATTTTCTATAACACCCCCTTTTTCTTACAGATTCATTATTATAGTCGTTAACGAGTAGCTGCAATACGGAAGAATATCGTGTGAATTTCTCCCTCAATGAAATTTCGCGGTACATTCAAAGGCGATCTGCCGAGATTTGCCCCCTCCCACTATTTCTCTGTTGCCACGTGCAGGTGAATCTTCCGTTGCAAGTGGCAAGAGAGGTGCCACATGGCATTTTCGTGAGGGCGATGAAGTTCGAGGCCGAAACTCACATTCGCGCCTCAGGCAGTGATGCTAAAAGGACCAGCAAAACACCCACATTGACTAATTAAAAAAACACTGACACTAAAATATGCCATATGTAAAGACCCGGGTATTATGCATTTTTTTCCTATGAGGAGACCCCCCCCATTTTTTCCCTGTATTTTTAGCTATACCCTAGGGTGTTATGTCCGGGAGAATACGGTATTGTGAAAGTCTACTTAGGCTGACTTGCAAAGGCAGCGTTATCATTTCATATGGCTCATCTCCCTCTCCACGCAGTTGCAGGATCCTACGACGGCTCCCTCAACCGCCACGCATCAGCTATCAATCGAACGGCACCGCCAGCCCCGACTGCACTTGGAGCGAGACGAGGTCGGAGTAGCGCAAGAATGCCGAAAACATGAGAAGAGGAATCAATCCTTTCTGATATTCCGCAGGAATTGATGATTCGAGGAAGGGACGGGCCATGTAGTGCACTTGATGGAAAGATATGGGCTCTTTGGTCCTTGCAGGCCGGGGACCACGTCTCTTGGCGAACTCCCGCACTTGCAGGGTGAATGAGCCGGCAGTAGGGGAGGTTTCGCCCGTCATGCGGTGGGCGAAGGCTACTGCCGAACATGTGAGGTTGATCGCGGAGTGAGTTGCTTTGTTGTTGAGCGCGTGGATGAGATACATCGCTAGCGTCAGGTCGGTTGCCGGTAGAAACTCGAGCTTAACTTGGGTACAAAAGGTGCGAAATCTTTGAGAATATGGCTGGTACGTCTCGACTGTACAACAGTCGCGCGTTCCTCAGGGGGGGTCTGAAGGGTGCCTCAGAGCAGGAGGTCGACCGCCAAAGGTCCCTCGCTTGAAATTTCTTCGGCGGGACGTTTTCCGCCGCGACGATCTGTTGTCCCGGCCGAAGTCGAGGTTTCTGCCGCGTTACCGGGGCTTGAAATATTCGAGTTGTCGCGGTTAAATGCCGGGTTGACCGGAGCCATCGTTGAGAGGTTGCAGATGTCGTTAAGGAGCGTTGACGGGGCAGTGAAGCGCGGAAGCGACTGAGTCTTCGCCAGTGTGGACGAGAACGAAATTAGAACTACAATTTCGGAAATGAAAACATGGGTGGGGACGAATGTCCCCACGTCCCTCTTTTGTAGGCAAAAGAGGGTGAGTAGAGCTTCGACGCTACTTTGCTGTGTGGCCACGTACCCCTTTTCACAATACAAAATTTTAGAAAGTGTTACATTTCATTACACTTTCAAAAACTATCATTTAGTTGTCAAAACATATGCATATAATAATCTAGGCTATATTGGGGATAGCCTTAGGGGGTACAAAAACTTTCTCGACACTATAGTCTTGTACCCAAACCTTGACCTAATCTCACCATCCTTGCCTAAGATTCTAACTTGGCATCTAGAGCATAGGTCCTTAGGACCTAGGATTAGGGCCCACCGTTTACTTCTTACCTTGCCTACTGCCCGCGCGCGCCTCGGCTGCACGCGCGCGGCCCTTTTTTTTTCCCGCGCGCACCTCTTAAGCAGCCCGCGCGCAGCCCGTTTAGGCCTGTTTTCGGCCCCGCGCGCCACATCAGCCGCCCGCGCAGCCTGCCGCCGGCCCGCGCGTCACGTAAGCCGCCAGTGCGCAGCCCGCTTAGGCCCTGCGCGCTGCGTCTGCTGCCCGCGTAGCCCGTTTTTCGGCCCCGTTTTAGCCTGCCGCTGGCCCTGCGCGTCGCCTCCTCCGGTGACGGCGCGCTGCCCCCCGTCGCCCGTCACGGCGCCTGTGGGACCCGCGCGCTGCCCTGCACCAGCTACGCCGCCCCTGGAGCAGCCGCCCCTGGACCCAGAGCAGCCGCCCACGGCCCCTGCAGCAGCCGCCCCTGGAGCATCCGCCCCTGGACCCCGAGCAGCCGCCCCTGGCCCCTGAAGCAGCCGCCCCTGGTGCAGCCGCCCCTGGACCCAGAGCAGCCGCCCCTGGCCCCTGAAGCAGCCGCCCCTGGAGCAGCCGCCTCTGGACCCAGAGCAGCCGCCCCTGGCCCCTGAAGCAGCCGCCCCTGGTGCAGCCGCCCCTGGACTCCGTGCAGCCGCCCCTGGACCCAGAGCAGCCGCCCCTGGCCCCTGCAGCAGCCCCCCCTGGAGCAGCCGCCCCTGGACCCCGAGCAGCCGCCCCTGGCCCCTGAAGCAGCCGCCCCTGGTGCAGCCGCCCCTGGACCCTCGAGCAGCCGCCCCTGGACCCAGAGCAGCCGCCCCTGGCCCCTGCAGCAGCCGCCCCTGGTGCAGCCGCCCCTGGACTCCGTGCAGCCGCCCCTGGACCCGCGACGCCGCCCCTGGACCCCGTGCAGCCGCCCGCCGAGCGCCGGCCCTGCTCGCCCGGCGAGCGCCTGCTCTTCCCGCCACTGGTGAGCACCTGCCTTGTTTGCGCGCTGCCGCGCCATCTGCCTGCCTGCCTGCCTGCCTGCCGCGCCTGCCCTGCACGCGCTGCTGCTGCTACTACTGCTGCTACTACTGCTACTGCTGCTACTACTGCTACTGCTGCTACTGGCGGTGGCCGGATGCAGCTCCAGCGACGTCCGCGTGAGTCCCTCACGCCCCAGCAACTTAGTGAGTGGTACGCTAGTTGGGGTTGTAGGGGTGGCCGCGCTGCTACTGCTGCTACTGCTGTTACTGCTGCTACTGCTGCTACTCCTGCTACTGCTGCTACTGGCGGTGGCCAGATGCAGCTCCAGCGACGTTACGCCCCGGCAGCTTCACGAGTGGTACGCTCAGAGTAGAGGGTCTTTGAGTACCGTTCGCTGCCCGTACGTCATTCGCACAGGTGATCGGACTGGTCAGGCCTGCGGGACGCTTGGTCACACACAGTCCCGCTGCTTCGCCCGTCTGAGTGACGCCTGGCGTACCGAGTTTGGCGGCGAGGCTGAGCTCCCCGACTGGGTGGAGCTGCTTGGGCAGAGGGTAGATATATTTGCTCTTGACTATGATGCTATTCTCACTGCCATGTATGCATTGCCTACTAGTGCTGACCGTGCCTGTTACCTGTGCGTACCGCCTGAGAATAGACGATTGTGGGAGTGCCTAGGCGTAGAGTTACTTGATTGGAGAGTGAAGCACGAGTTTTGTGTATACGGACTTGCTGGAAACTGGATACTGGTGTTCGGAAAACAGTGTACTTGGTATTCAGCAACATGCTTGGTATTCAGTAACGGAAGAGAAGTAGATGATTAGTTGATAGATTACAACAGATACAACATGAACCTTATAGGAACAGGTCGACGGGTGAGTGAGGCACGGTACTTCTCGAAACTGGACCTGCGTTCGGGGTATCATCAGGTGCGGATTCAAAGTGAGACATCCCAAAAACAGCTTCTCGAAAACGGTACGGTCACTATGAGTTTCGTGTGTTGCCCTTTGGTCTCACCAACGCTCCAGCCACCTTCCAAGGCATGATGCAGCGCATTTTTAGTGATTTCATTGACAAGTTTATGGTGGTTTTCATTGATGACTTGTTGATTTACAGTCGCACTCGTGAGGAGCTCTTGAAGCACCTTGAGCTGGTTCTTGCACGGCCGAGTGAGCACAGATTGTATGCCAAGCGTTCAAAGTGTGAGTCTGCCAAAACCAAGCTGACATTTATGGGTCACGTCATTTTTCATGGGAAGCTGGAGATACCGACACTACCCTCAACTTGTGTCTCTCTAGGTTTTATCACAGACTTACCCCGCACCCATACAGGCTTTGACAGGATTCTGGTGGTCACTGAAAAGCTGTCCAAGATGGCTCATTTCATCCCCACAACTAGCAGTGACTACTGCTGAAACTGCCAAGTTGTTTTTCATGCATGTAGTGAGACTACATGGACTGCCATCAGTCATAGTCAGTGACAGAGACACACGGTTCCTCAACAACTTCTGGACCACACTGTTTCAGCTACTAGGCACACAGATTTGCCTATCAACAGCCTGCCATCGTGAAATTGACAGTCGGA